GCCGGGGATCGAACTGGCGCCGCAGAGGCCGCGAGCAGCTTCGCAACCCAGCGCTCAACCGCTGCACCACCGGGGAGGCCCCACTCTCTCTTGAAGTGTGTCTGTTTGTCATTTCTTTAACCGAATCCCTGACCACCCTGCGCAGTTGGGCGGCCTCATCGTCTACTGCTGTGCTGGTCCGCGGCACTTTTCAATTCTGAAAATCTTTTATTACCTATCAAGGAGAGATTATCTCCACATCTCTGCCTCTCTCTCTACGCACACACAGTTTATTCTAAAAATTTTTAACATTTAGAAAAATAGAATTTTACAGAGGATGTTCACACTCTACTACCTGTGCTCCACTATTAACATTTTGTCTGAGTCCACGTCCATTTCTCTACACTCACCCATCATCTTTTCTGAAGCATTTGAAGGGAAGATGAGATTTGGTAGCTCAGGTGTACAGCACAGTGATTAGAGTTAACAATGCTATGTTATATTCTTGAAAACCGATAAGAGTGTAGATGTTAAGTAGTCTCGCTACTGAAAAAAATAGTGACTGTGTGACATGTTGGAGGTGTTAGCTAAGTCTAGGGTGGTCATCATTTCACAACATATAAATGTATCAAAAACACAGTTGTACACCCTAAACATAAATAATGTTATGTGTCAATTACAGGTGACTTGAATAATGGGGGCCGGTGAGGGCTTAGGGATGGGACCCTGCTCAGTTGAAAATCCCAATGCACAACCGGGCACTACAATTATTTATTTCATATCATTGCAGCTCACTTAAAGAGCAATAAGCGAGCGGGTGCTACCATGTTAGACAGCACAGCTGTGGGTTCCTCGGAGAACAGGGCACCATCAAAGACAAGGTGGGGGAGCCCCGGTGTGGGATTCTCTGCTACAACTGTGTGCTCAGCACTGTTCCTGCAAGCTCTGCTTTGCCTTTGTCACTCACCAGGAAAACCCAGGATTTGAAACTGAATTTTTTTCCAGCGGGACAAGCAGCATCCGAAGATGACATCATTTCCCGAGCCAGGTCATCGCTCAAGCTGACCTCAGAGGTGAGAACAGATGCTGTGGAACAGCATGGATTGACGCCTGTGGACGGATTCAATGAGTAGTTTGTTCTTGCAGGTCCTGTGAGATTTATCATGGTTCGGGGCAGAAGGCAAGATGGAGTAAAGACCTGCTGTACCCATGGCCACGAGCTACACATAACGTTTGCAATGAATCCCTTCTGAACCCACTTCTCCTATGCGATCAAGCGCATTTGACAGAGAAGTTCAGTTTCTTGGGAAGAAACATCTTTGACGCTGAATGCAGAAAAAATCAGAAACGGTGTCCCTGAAATGGGGTATACTTGGGAAGGTGTACATTCTTAACTACCTTGATTAAATAGCTGGCCTAGAAAATGAAGCAAATCATAAAGACAAGGTCAGAATGAAGGGGTCACTTTGTGCACCAACCCTGGCCTGGGCTCTCCAGGACCCCTGAGGATCATTAGCGCATGTCCTTGGGTGTAAAGAACTTTTATGATGAGCCGCATTCCTTAGGCTATGTCTTAGCTCATCCCTACCCATCGGCACATGCTGTGTTTCCAGAGTTATAGCTCCGCAACAGTTTTGATATCCTGCCTTGGTTACGCATTATGATGACTTAATTAATTTTTTTTCTCATTTCTGTATCATCCTGCTTATCATTTAAAGGTTGCTTAAAAGCCCACTAAGTAAACCGTTGTCTTACTGAAACCAAGCCTAAAGGGTTAAGTTGCTTTCAGACCTTAAATGCACAAAAGGAAGAAAATAAAAACTTACCTAAACTTTTCTCCTTGAGGCTGTACTTACAGAAATAGTTTCTCTGACTTGCCAACACCGTGAGCTGAACTCCAAGGCAGCTGGAGACCTTGATCACAGGGGAGGACGGCGCCCAGCGGTGGGGCCATCGACAGAATTCAAAATTGGTTTGTGGAGAAAAACCATGTCATACTTCACCTACGAAGCGCCAGGGGCTCGCCAATGCACTTCAGCCAAGTCCACATTTCTTTGCCCTGAATCTGCTTTCAGTCAATAAAATTTAACTCCTTTGTTCTCAACTCTGGTCCCCCAGACCCATATAACCTGATTTCCTTTCTTAGGGAAGCAGATTTGAATGGGTTTTTTTCCTCTCCTGTCTCCTGGCTTGTCTCACTTACAATAAACCTTTCTCTGCTTCAAGCCCAATGTTTTAGTAATTTTTAAAAAGAGTTATTTATTTATTTGTTTGTTTGTTTATTTGTTTATTTATACAAGCACTGGGTACAGTCAGAAGCGTGGGAGGGTGAGAGAATTCACCAGAGCCAGAGCGGGGAGCAGAACAGGCAGAAGGACCGAAGTACACTGCTGAGGGGAGCAGCGGGCGGCAGGAGAGGTCTGCGCGCCATGCGGGACCCTCCTCTGGTGGCTGGGGAACAGCCGGGGATCGAACCGGCGCCGCAGAGGCTGCGGGCACCTTTGCAACCCAGTGCTCAACCGCTGCGCCACCAGGGAGGCCCTGTTTTAGTAATTTTAATGTTTTTTTAAGATTTAAAAAAAATTTATGCATACAAGAGCTGGGGTGTAGGCCAGAGGTTGGTGGGGGGGGAGGTGAGAGAGTGGGGAGCAGAACAGGCAGGCAGATCCACTAAAATCCACTGCTGAGGGGAGCAGCGGGGAGACAGGAGAGGTCTGCTGTGCCCTGTGGGTCAGCTCCCTGGCCGGGGATCAGACTCATACTGCAGTGGCTGTGGACAGCTTCATAGTGCTGAGACTCGAACCCTTGCGCCACCAGGGAGGCTCTAGTAATTTTAATCTTAAGTAGGCATTGGGTACATGCGCCTAATTTGTAGAGGTCAGCAGCACTACCGTTGAACATTTACATTGTTTCCACTTTTTTTTGCCATTCTTATGGCTGAATGTGATGTGATCCTAGCACTTTAAATAAAATAAAAAGGAAATCCACATAAAACTTTTGACTCCCCCCCTCCCCAACTAACTACAGTTGTTGTCCCTGGTACTTGTTTCAGGACCCACACACCCCCTCAGATATCAGAATCCACGGGCGCTCAGTTCCCTGTACCGGGCAGGCCTCCTCATGCACAGGGGTGACTGTATCTGTGAGTGCACAGATAGAAAAAAAATCTGAATACATGTGAACCCTCGCTGTGCAAACCCACGCTTGTCTATGGCTCTTTCACACCTTTTTTTTAAAAGTAAAATTCACATACAGTGATATGTACAAATCTTAAGTGTACACACTCACCAAGACAAAAAGGCATACACCAGAGTGTCCCCCCTCTGTCAGAGTTCCAAACTGACATTACTCTGGACAGTTTCAAGCTCCTTTCTAGGCTATTCTCACTCCCCCATCCAACCCCCCATCCATTCTGGGGCAACTGCTTTTCCTTATTTTTCCTCCCACCATTCTAGCTGGAATGTTAAAGCATTGGTATCGTTTCATTTTCAATGACTTTAGTTTACTGGCCTACTTGAGACTGGTGATGTGGTTTTCCACATGTACTAAAGATTGGTGTTTACATTTTTAAAAAGCTAGTTCCTTAAGTCCCAACATGCCTGGGAGGGAGCTGCTTGGCCTCGGCTACCCCGCACTCCTCTGACTCCCAAAGTGCTTGAGTTTGTCCCATCAATTACAGATGCCCTGGTTTGTCATGGGAGAGACTTGAAGGGGGCTCAGTGAGGGCGGGGGCCTTCCTGATCACTAGAGCACCTCACGTACTGGCACTGGTACAGGACTAGCACGCAGCCCGTGTTTAACAAATATGAGTTGAATTTAAAGGATAATTTGTGCAGATGTGGTAAAAGATGAGAACCCCCAAACAATGCACCCTCATACCCCCAGGAATGTGCTGCCCAAGATGGTGGCCGTGGCCCCCTGCAGCTCTTGAGGGCCTGAAACTGCTGAGATGTACCGGTAATGCGCAGGGCCGGCCACCTCCGAAGTCTCCCTACAGAGGAGAGCTATCAAAAATCTCCTTACTAATTTTTATGTTGATAAAATGTCAAAACAGTAACATTCTGAATATATTTGCTTGGGTAAAATTGACTTCTAAGACTCTAAGGCCAAATCTCTGATTCCTGGAAGGGAGGTAAGGGTGGGTAGTCAGGTAAAAGTCAGGGGTGTGTGGTGCAGGATGGAATTGGACTTTTTGTGGTGAACTTAACATATTTCATTTATATATTAAGTTTTTTTTTTAAGAGTTATTTATTTATTTATACAGGCACTGGGTACAGTCAGAAGCGCGGGAGGGTGAGAGGATTCACCAGAGACAGAGCGGGGAACAGAACAGGCAGACTGATGAACTACACTGCTGAGGGGAGCAGCGGGCTTGGCAGGAGAGGTCTGCGTGCCATGTGGGACCATTGCCGGCCGGGGATCGAACCGGCACTGCAGAGGCTGTGGGTATATTTGCAACCCAACGCTCAACCGCTGTGCCACTGGGGAGGACCTATTAAGATTTATTTTATTAATTTATGCATACAACAACTGGGGCGTAGGCTAGAGGTGCAGGAGGTGAGAGGACCCAGCAGAGACAGAGTGGGGAAGCAGAACAGGAGGATCCACTGAAATACACTGCTAAGGGGAGCAGTGGGGAGACAGAAGAGGTCTGCTGCGTGCTGTGCACAGGTCAGCTCCTGGGCCAGGCACTGAACTCTTGCTGCAATGGCTGGCAATAGCTTGATAGCGCTGAGACTTTAACCCCTGCACCCCCAGGGAGCCCAAGTTTTATATACTTGAATTTGATTTATAATGATACACACCTGAAAGTTATAAGGCAATGTTACTTCAACAGAATGTTTTTAAAGTATGTATTTCTAAAATTAATTTTACTTTTTTTTACATTTTACTGTTTTTTACTTTATAAATGTTTGTTTGTTTTTTTTTTTTAATGTGGGCTACTAGAGAAAATTAAACTAGCGACCCATGAGGTTTCCATCGGATGACAGAGCACCGAAAGGCTGAACATGGCTCCCTGCTGCAGGTCAGGGAGGGCCCTCCGTCTTCTCTCTCACCTGCTTGCGGAACAATGACTCACACAACGGTTTGGTTTTGAAATTTCAAAAATACACACGACAGATAACACATCACGAGATAATAAATGGAATTAAAATCAGTTGTTGAAATGGTAGGAATAACCACTTGGCCTCAAGGGACCTGAGAACACTCGCCCTCCACCCTGGGAACATGTTTTTGTGAACTTTGAAACAGCCCGTTTTTAAAACAAACCAAAGGACAAAGAACGAGATGTTCTGAGGTTGCTTTTATTCCAAGAATTCTATGAGCTCCACCCAGATCATCGGTGCCAGTTCACCCTGTGGCACCCACATCCCCATGGCACCCACACAGTGGCTCCACGAGGGTGCCCGGGGCTCAGCCAGTCAATGTGACTGAATCCACCACTGAGGGCTGGTCTGACGGCCCCCAAGCAGTTCACCTGTGTCCACCCTGGGCGGGCGGGGAGAGCGCCTCAGCGCCACTCAGGCCCACGCTTCCCGGGTCTGTGCGCGGCAGCCTGACAGCTCTGCCAGCTCTGCCCTTCTCCGAGACAGCGCCTGTAGCCCCCACTCAGAATGGGGACCTCTGCAGTGGTAGGCGTCTCTGACCACGAGGTTCCAGATGGCCTGGACCCAGAGTTCCTGCCCAGGCAGGGGGCGGCCACATGCTGGGCCACAGTCAAAGTCACTGTCCTTTAGGAGCCTGCGGCCAGGCCCCCCAAGGAGGCTATGATGCTGCCCAGGCCGCGGTGGGCTGGATCAGTATGGTAGTGGCCTGCAGAGGGTAGTAGCGGCCCCGCCAGGTCTTCCAGAAGATGCCCTTCTTGCGCTGCTGCCGCTGGCGGGGAATGGAGCGGAAGTACTGGCCATTGAGGTTGGAGTGGCTGCAAGTGCCGAACCACCAGCCACCTGCGGAGATCGCAGGAGAGGGGGTTGGGTCAGGCCTGAGTCCCTGGGTGAACGGTGGGGCTGGGACAGGGGAGGCTGGCGCTGAACTTGACCAGCTTCAGATGGGAAGACGGAAGCAGTGGTTGTCAAACTGTAGTCTGATGAACCCCAGATTGTGACAAAGGAACCTCAGGGGCCCCTTCCAGTGACCACAAGAGACCAGTATTCTCATGGAACCATGGCAAGCTGCTTCTCGGGGCCTGGCACGTGGTCAGTGTTTATTACTTCCTGTAACTGGCATCTATTGGTATCTGTTTTTAGTCGATGAAACCATATAAAACTACCAACAGCCCTTTGATTTTAGATCCACCAAAAAGCAGTTTCTTACAGTTCTACTTCAAAGGGCCCAGGGTTTGTCTCCAATTTCATTAGAACAAGGTGGGGTCTATCTTAGTGACTTTGTGCCACGCCGGCCACCACCCAGGGAATGTCATCTCCCTGGACTTTCCTGATAGTCCTGAGGAGCGGGGGCACCGTGATTATACTCATTTTCAAGCTGGGGAAACTGGAGGTCAGCTGCCCAAGGGCACACCGCAGGGAGGGAGAGAGGAGACAGCAAACAGATGGACCGGGGGTTGAATGCAGGACAGGGATGCAAAGGCAGGGAGGGGAGGCCCTGGTCTTTGGGCCAGGACAGGGAGGGACAGGGCTGGCTTACCAGAGAGGCTCTTGGCACAGTTCTTGTCCCCCTGGAGGTCATGGTCCTGGTCCCAGGTGGAGAAGGGCAGGGAGAGCCCGCTGGGGGCGACGGCAGAGGCACCCAGTTTGCTGGCCACGGGCGCGGTCAGCTGCAGGCTGTAGGCCGTGTCCTCGCCGCCCAGGTGCATGGGGAACTGCAGGGACTCAGCGTTGCCCTCCCAGTCCTGCAGCTGCACAGCCAGGCGGCTGTCCCGGTCCCCCACGATGCTGTGCACCTTCTCCAGGCCCAGCCAGAACTCCCCTGTGGAGGGAGAGGCTCGGCGAGTGAGACGGACTCCTCCTAGCTCCCCCTCCACTGGGACCCCCACCCCTGACCCTCATCTGATCCCTATTGGAAGCACCCACCTTGGAGGTCTCCGAAGCCAACCTTGTAGGCTTTCCAAGGCTGGTTGAAGTCCACGGAGCCATCGTGGCGCCTCTGAATTATAGTCCAGCCTCCATCTGCCCAAAGAGATGCCAGGTCACCAGGAGAGCCCTTCTCAAAGGGAACCCCGACTCCCCGCCAGCCTCCCTAATCACCTCCAATTCAGTGAGGCACATCCTACCTGAGGTCATTTCACAGTTCACCAGGAATGGCGGAGACCCCTGAGGCTGGATCTGGAACAGTCCACTTTGCCGCTCACCAGTTTCAAAGAGCTCCTGGCAGTCCCTGGGCAGTCCTGCAGAGAAAGAGGGGGGCAGGGAGATTGAAACAGGAGAGCAGCCCATTTCTGGGGGTTGAGCAGAGGATGACAGGGACCTGAGGGGGCAATCCTGAGTTCCTGATGCTCCTCCTGGCCCCCCATAGTTGGCCCCCCAAAGTCTCCCATGGCTCCCCATGGTCTTCCTAGCTCCATCTAGAAGGTGCCAGGACCCAGCCCCACACCCACCACCCTGGCTCTCCTTGTACACAGTCGCCTGACCTTAGGGAGTTGAACCTGCTGATTCCTATGCTGGGCCCCTCCTCCCTCCAAGCCTTTCTTCCGCCATCTTCCGGAAGCTGCCCATCCTCCTGAACCCCAGGCCAAGCCAGGCCTCCTGACAGGTCATGGAGGGCTTCCCACTGCCCAGACCAGGGTTGCCGCCCACTCGTGCCCACAGTCTGACACCAGTGCCCAGGGCCCTCCCCAGAGCGACTGTAACAAAGACTTGAGCTATGAATAATGAAGGTGGCTGAGAGGAGGGGGCAAGGCCGGGGCCCACGCAGCAGGCCTGGCTCTGCTTTGTCCGGTAAGGGATGGGGCCTGGGAGGAGCTTGCAAGGGGAGAGGCCCGCTCTGGGGTCCCAGGTGTCAGAGTGTGTGTCGGGAGGGGGACAGAGGAGGCGAGGAGGGCAGAGGAGGGCCAGGCAGGCTGGGCCAGGCGGGCAAGTCCACACCCCCAGCCCAGCCGGGAAAGTAAGGGAAAGGTCGCCAGGGGAGGAGCGGCCCAGGCCTGGGGGAGGGGAGTGAACAGGAGGGGGTGAGCTGCTGTTCGCGGGTGGGGCAGGCCCAGAGTGTCTGCAGACACTTTCCGCCCCGGGCAGCTCCCCTTTCCCCTACTTTTCTCTCTTCCAATCAGGACAGGCAGCCCGCCAAAGCCCCGTGTGGCTTCCATTAGCACCAGCTGTTTGTCTCTCCAGCGCTGACCTTTCTCCTACTTGGCAGCCCAGAGTCTGGGAGTCCCCAGATCTCACCCCCTCACACGCCCCAACCATCGCCCCCAGTCTGGACCTAGGCCAGCAGCCCTGACCCAAAAGCCCCTCATTTCGGGCTTGGGGGGGTGTACTGGACCCTTACTCGGGGGCAGGGGGAGGAAGGCTCCCTCAAGACTGGGGGTGCAGCCAGCAAGCAGCCTGAGGGTGTGAACGGGGTATCCAAACTTTCACCCAGTTGGCAGCTGACAGCCGCAGATTCCCCAGCCGGCAGAGGGGTGGAGGGACCTCAGGGAAGCCATCCGGGTCTGTGGCCATGAACTTGAGGATGGGCCATGGCGCCTGGGCCTGACGCACAAGGACACGCCGTGGTTGGGGGTTGTCACGAAAAAGAACCTACAGCTGTGCCAGTGGTGAAAGTCCCCTCTCTTTGGGGGTGGGAGCGTGGAAAGGGGGTGTCAGCAACTTTGGGTCCAAGAGATGGGTGAAGGACTAGGTGTGTGGGCCAGGAATCCTGGACTTACAAGAAATGCGCGAGCCAGCGTGACTGACCAGGGAGGTGGGGGTCCCCGCCCTAGCCCCCCAGTCCTGGACCACACTCCAAGAGACCAGGGGCACCCAAACCTCAGAACCCCCTTCCAGGCGGCCATTCCCCTTAAGCTGGAGGACTCCATGCTCCCTCTCACCCTCCAGTCCACCACTGTGACCTCTTAGAAGGTTCCCACCTTCCGGAAGGTGTCCGAGACCTAAACCCCCGCCTCTTCCCCAAGCCCCTCAGCTCGCGTCCCTCTCAGATCCTCTTTCGCAATCCCTGGTCCAGCTGGTGGCCAGCACAGCTCCGGGGAAAGCCCATTGGCTTGCTGGGAAGAAGGGCGAGGTGGCCCAGGAGGGCAATCAGGGCTGAGGAGGGAGGGACCCTGTGCACCCTTCACTAGAGACCATAGGGTGCAAGCCCAGGGCTAATGTCCCTCCCAGTGGGGTGGACCTGACAGGGAGTGGGAGAAGAATGCCAAGTGGGGGCTGCCAGAGGACAGCACGGGGCTGGACACTCACTGTGCGGGCGGCTGGTGTTGTGGGTTGGGCCAGCAAGCTGGGCCATCTTCGGGAGCCTCTTTCTCCTGGCGGCTTTGGTCAGCCTGTGGTCCAGGTGCGCGGGGGCCAGGAGTCCCACCTGGGACAGGACGGGAGGCGGTCAGGTGTGGCTGGCTCATACTGCTGGACATGTGGTCCCGCATCTGGACTCCCTGGCCCAGCTGCCACCCCCACCCCCCACTGGGGCCAGCATCAGGCACCTGGGTCTGTAGTTTCTGGATCCTCAGGTTCTGCTTGTCCAGGTGCCGCTGCTGCTGGGCCACCTTCTGGAGGAGCTGCTCAATCCTGGTGTTCTGGGCCTTGAGCTGAGTCTGGAGAGAGTGACACGCTGGTGAGGACCAGCCTGCGCTGCAAATCGCTCCATTCTTCGCGATTCTCCATTCTTCGCCAGTTCTTCCACCTCTTCCTCCCTCGGGGCCACAGGCAGGAGGCCATCGGGGGTCCTGGCTGCACCCCCTTCGCGCCCAAACTTTTAAGAGAGCAGCTGGGGCGCCGGAGAGCCACCCCGGGGCGCACTTACCTGCAAACTGTGGAGGGTCTCCGGGTCCTCGCACGCGGCCCCGCACGCGCCCAGACGTCGCTCCAGCGCGCCCAGCTGCCCCCGGGTGTGCTCCACGTGCTCTCGCAGCCCGTGGCCGAGCTGCAGGAGCCCGTGCGCCAGCACGTTCACCTCGTCCCAGGACGCGAAGCGGGGCGGCTCGGGCGGGGCGGGGCCCTGCGCGCTCAGCAGCCCGGCGGTGGCCGCGCACAGCACCAGGGCTGCCCCGGCCGAGGGTGCGCCGCGCATCTTAGGAGGGCTGGACGCGGCACGCGGGACGCGGGACTCGGTAACCAAGGGGCGCGGGGACGCAGGCCCGACGCGGGCTGGGGATGAGCCGGAGACGCGCTGGGGCGCGGCCACAGGGAAGCCTCGGAGCTCAGCCGCGGGCCCTCTGCGCTCGCCTTCGCCCCGCGACGCCCCCTTTTATAAGCCTGTTGGGGCGCCACGGAGGCGTGGTCGGGGAGTGCTGGGGGTGGGGCATGCGCTCGGAGGTGGGGTTCCGTGCGCGGGAGGCCGGGGAGTTGGGGGGGTGGGAGGGTGCCCTGGGGGTAAAGAACTCGGGCTCCGGCTCCGCCCCGCAGGCCCTGACGGGACTGCGCTCCCCACCTCCGGGGCCGCCGCCCGCCCTCGCCCCACCGGGGCCTTCCAGGCGCCGGAATTCCGTCCCCCCTCCTCGGTCCCGCACTCCCTCGCTCCGTGGGGGAGAGGGTGCTCGCGTGGTGGGGTGCGGGGAGACGGGGCGGACAGGCGGCTTTCCTGACCCCTCCCCACGCCACACACCGGGAGAGAAGACCAGGGAGAGGCGACTAAGAAAGGGTATGTAGAGTTCAGCGGGTCCGCGCAGACAGTGGGGACCCCTCAAGCACCCCCACTCGGCAGGGTCCCTGCGAGCATCCTAAGAGCAGACCGGACACCCACCCCAGCCCGCCCTGGCTCCCGACTCCTTCCCCGCGTGAGCCAGGGCGGGTGGTCTTGTGTCACTGCCCCCACCCCCACCCCAACTGAGTGCCTCGCTGCTGCGCCCTTGTCTGTCTTCCCTTTTCAGTTCAGCACCCCACTTCCACTGTGCATCCTCTGCCCCCCAGTCTGCAGAGTCTGGGTCCTTGCCTGTATTCAAGCAGGACCCTCAGAACAGAAAGAGGGGACCATGAAGACCTCTCTCTCCCTCACTGACTGAGTGATGCACCCACACCCCTCCACCCAGGAGTCGTTCTTTCATTCACTCAACACTCTCCTGCTCTGGGGTCTGGAGTTCCCAGTGCTGGTGGGGAGATGCCAGCACCGTGAGCCCTGATGGGGGAAAGTTGGGACAAAGAACTGAGTGAGGCAGTGGGACTGGGCCCTTCTTCATTCCACAAGGGTCAGCATTCATGCAAAAGCTCTCACTGAAATTCTGCCCTGCCCCACTTCTCCTGAACTCCCCTGTACCCTGTCAGGACAGCAAGGCTGGCACAGAAACCTTGCCTGCCAGGAAGGATAGGGCAGGTTGGCCCGGAGCACAGGCAAGAACAGAGTTGACTCAGCAGGGCTGGGAGCCAGCTTGGCCTCTGGAATCTGAAACTGCGTGCCCCAGGGCTGACGTGCGGGTCACCACTCACACATTTTGGCCTGGCCGGGTGCCAGGATGGCAGATCCCAGCAGCCGTGACTGGCAGATGGGAAGGGCAGGAAGGGAAACTTACACGAGGAGTAGGTCCAGAGCCTCTGTGTGGCCTGGTAACCAGCCAGTCCACAACCCTGAGCCCCTGGACACCCTGGAGTGGGGGACACAGCGGGCACTCCTCCACCCTGGATTCTTGAATCCAAAGAAATAATCAGTCACTTTCCTATGATCCACTTTCAGCAGCTGCTTTCTCCGCACCATGTTTTCAGAGAGCACAAAAATAAGCCAAAGCTCCCTAGAGGCACCTGCTATGAACAGGCTGCAAAAGAATTCATCCAGGAACCCTGCATCGGTTCTGGATTGTAGCCTAAAAACTGCTCTGTGGAATGTGCTCTCTGACCCAGCAATGACACAGTTACCCCTGGCCACTTACCCTGGGGGACTATTGCGGTGGGGGAGACCCCATGCCTCCATTTGGGCCGCTCTGGTCAGAGTCAGCGGTGCTGGAAAGGCAATGTATGGGTTGGAATCTCTCAGAGAAAGAGAAGCAGTGACGTTCACTGTTGTTGTTTAATTTTGTCTTTGCCTCTCCATGGGCAGCTGGGTGAAGTCCCCGCCCCCTTGCAGATTCCATTCTCAGCAGGACGTGGTCTATGCACAACTTCTTCCTGTCTGTGTCCCCTGGACCTGTACTGGGGGCTCCTCGGACACTGTACCTATCTCTATCTTTGGCGCTTCTGGTGGGTGGGACGGGAGGAGCTAGTCTGTCGTGGAGGAGCTCCTTATAATAAAACAGCAGCAAGCACCTACTGTGTGCTTGATGTACACTAAGTATGGCTCCAAAGTCATTGCATATTCACTTAATCCCAATAGCAACTCCCAATGAGGTAGATACGGTTATTACTCTATTTTATAGGTGAGGACACAATAAAAAAAGAAGTTAAGCACTTATTCAAGTTTTCACGGTTATCTAAACGGAGCTAGGATTTGAAATCAGGCTGGCTGGCTCCAAGCCGGTTTTCAGCAACCATGACGCTTTACTTTATTCATAACAGCTGGTTGCCCCTGCCTCTGATCTCACGCGTGGTGGCCTAGGGTTGAGTCCCAGCACTATCACCGCAGTGGTCTGTATTCGATCCCCAGCCAGGGAGCTGACCCACATGGCGCAGCAGACCTCTCCTGTCTCCCCACTGCTCCCCTCAGCAGTGGATTTCAGTGGATCTGGCTGCTGTGCTCCCCCTCTGTCTCTGGTGAGTCCTCTCACTCCCCACACCTCTGGCCTACACCCCGTTTTTCTATGCAAAAATAAATATTTTTTTAAAAATGCCCTGTCTTGATTAGATGGTGTGCGCTGGGAGAAGCCAGCTGCCATGCCGGGAGGAAGCTCAAGCAGCCCTTTGGAGACATCCACACAGCAAGGAACCCAGGCCACCACCCCACCACCAGCCATGTAGGGAGCATGAAACAGATCCTGCAGCACTGGTCAGGCTTCTGGTGACCCAGCCTCAGCTCACATCTGTGTAACCTCACATGGTCCTACATCAGAGCTACCCAGATAAGCCACTCCCAAACTCAGATTCACAGAAACTATGAAATCAGTGTTATTATTGTTTCCAACCACTTATTATGCAGCTAACACAATAAATAACTAATACTAGCAGTTAAGTGATAGCCACTCGGGGCAGGGCACTATTTTGGGTATCGTATGTCTGCTTACTCACTTGACATGCACACCCCATGAAGTTGGCACAGTACTATTTAAATCTCCATTTTAAAGAAAACGAAACTGCGGTGCAGAGAGGTCACGTGGTCTGAGAGGACATGTGAGGGACACTTTCCCAAGAAGACTGGACGCTGTTGGTCTTAGAGCTGCCCCTGTTGTGTTTATCTGGAGTTCTGCCTGGGGCTGCTGTCAAATCCAGTTAATTCCACTCCCAGGAGTTACCTATCACCTGTTCAACTCGGGAAAAGGTCAAGCCCCCTACCCCATCTCTCCCCTGGCAGCCACCCTCTCTCTCACCCAGGCTTTAGCACACAACTTGCAGATACTACACTGGTCCCCACCAGCCAAACCTTACCTGAAGGTATGCTTCAACATCAACTGTCTTTTTTTAAAGATTTATTTATTCATGTATACAAGAACTGGGGTACAGGCCAGATGCGAGGGAGGGTGAGAGGATTCACCAGAGACAGAGCGGGGAACAGAACAGGCAGACTGACTGAAATACACTGCTGAGGGGAGCAGCGGGCGAGACAGGAGAGGTCTGCCTCGTCATGTGCAAATCTCCCTGGCCAGCCAGGATCAAACCCGTGCTGCAGAGGCTGTGGACAGCTTCACAGCACTGCGCTCAACCTGCTGCGCCACTAGGGAGGCCCTTGAACATCAACTTTCTAATGAAAATCTAGATTTGTGGTGTCTCTTGCAAATCAGAAGATCCACCAAGGGTGGTCTGCAACCCTGCTTGTTTGTAATGGGCGTGAGCTGAGGGGGGCTGCCCCCATTTGGCCCAGACAAGCCCCCACCACCCTGTCACTGGGGTTCTCTACCTTTTGCACATGAAACTTGAAACCTCCGGTCATTCACTGTGGCTAGTGTATTTTTATTGCCAGTGCTACCTCAGGTCCAGGCAGCAGGCCTCTGTAAAGCCACTGAACTTTATAGGGTGACTCCTTCCCCAGCCAAGGAGGCCAGGAGGTGTGAGAGCAACAGGTACATTTACTGGAGCCCACGGTGTTCCTTGTAAACCAAGGGTTGGGGATTCCATTGTGGATGACGAAAGGCTTCTGAAACTAGGTAGTGGTGATGGTTGTACAACATCCTGAATGTACTTAATGTTCCAGAATTATATACTTTAAAATGGTTAAAGTGCTCAATTTCCTGTTATGTGTATTTTACCACCAAAATTAATCTAAAAAATATTTCAGTAAGCAATCCCAGGGAGCGTGTGGGAGCAGTGAGGGGGAAGGGAGTCAGTGGACTGTAGTGGAGGATTATGGGTGTTTTGCTGGTGAGTGTGGTGTTGTCATCTTCTGAGGAGGTGTGAGCTATACCCCCAGCTGACATACAAAATTAAAAATTAAACGTTAAATAAAATAGGGCCTCCCCAGTGGCGCAGTGGGTTGAGCACAGCGCTGTGAAGCTGTCTGCAGCCTCTCCCGACTGGCCAGGGAGCTACCCACATGGCACGGCAGACCTCTCCTGTCTCGCCCACTGCTCCCCTCAGCAGTGTTTTCAGTCCGTCTGCCTGTTCTGCTCCCTGTGTGAATTCTCTCACCCTCCCTCGCCTCTGTCCTATACCCCAGTTCTTGTATAAATAAAATAAATCTTTAAAAAAATTTTAAATAAAATAGAAGAAATCTTGGTAAAACTAGAAAGAATCAATAAATTTAAGCTGGCCCTCCATATTGTTTTGAAAGTACGTTTAATAAAGGGCACGCTTTATTATCTAACAGGGGTTACTGTGTCAGTTTTCTGTTGCTGCATAACTAGCATTCCCATAACTTAGTGGCTCAAAGCCACATCCAGCCGTCTTGGCTGAGAAGTCCTTGTCCCCACAGCCAACTGCAGTGACCTGGAGCTCGACCGGGAATGGATGGTCCAAAGTGGACACTTAATGTCTGAAGGTTAGCTGGGGCTGTCTGCGGGGACACTTCAGTTTTCTTCTGGGTGACCCTCCAACAGGGTGTCCCAAGTTCTTCACATGGCAATGGCAATGTTTTAAGAGAACCAAGATCCAAGATGTATTAAATCTCCACTTGCATCACATTTGC